GAGCTTTTTTATTGATTTGGATTCTGATCTATTGCGACGTAATGGAACCGTATCGACTTTAAATGACGTCTGAATAAAAAAAAGTAACACATCATAGCAAGATTTGCTAACACTACAATCAAATTATATAATAAATAAGTAGATAATGCATGGGATACATATTATTCATTTAAAACAAAATGCTATTTTGATATATATATATATATATATATATATATATATATATATATATATATATATATATATATATATATATATATATATATATATATATATATATATATATAGGTTTTCATTTAAACAATTCATGACTGAGTTTACGGGTATATAATACATATAACAAACAGGGTTCTACATCATATCATATTTTAACTTTGGCGCAAGACTTACGCAAAGTGCTAATATCCGCGGTCATTAATAAATGCGCGAAGAAACAAATGAAATTGAAAAACACATAACTCTTCTGAATCACTACATTATAACATAAATGGTACTAATTACTTGGCAAATCGAAAAAAAATATTAAATTATTATATTAAATTAATAAAAACAATAAATTTATATAGAGAAAAGTTAAACATAATGTTAAACAGAAATTAGAATGATTCCAATATATATGTGTACTGTGATCCCCCCTCCTCCGAGCAACCTACAACCGTACTTTGAAATTAAAATAAAAAAAAAGTCTGATAAAGATTTTTAAAAAAGATAATAGTCAAAGCAAGTTCTAATTTTCTAACCCTAATCATTTTCAGTATTCTATCATTCATATATTCAAAATGCTTACTATGCGAGTTCGAAATTAAGCCATTTAAGAATGTTTCGTGTATATGTATGTGACCGTTTTCTTAAAATCTAACAAAGCCAATTTTAGTTGTTTGAAAATAAATTAAATCCATAGATTTTAGTAAAGAATTATATTGCATGTATATTGCATGTATACATGTACGTGAATAAAATCAAGTTAATTAACTCTTTAGCCTTATACAAACCCTACTTCCAGTTTGATGTGAATTTTTGTACACCGGTCAAATACTTGATATGAATTTTTGGACATGTCCTTGATACGGGGTATGGTGAGGTCACCCGTATCGCACAATGCGGAATCGGTTTATTACTACAAAATAAATAAATATAATATAACATAATAAATTAATATAATATGATATAATAATGGAATCTAATATGCTAGCCCCTCCGGGATACAAATGTTGCCCTCGGCTCAGCGTCGGACAATATTTAATTCCTTGGGGGCTAACACTATCAAAGTAACCCTCTACTGCAGTCAGTATTATATAATAGTAACTTAATACTTAATTATATCATATGTAGCGATTAAATAAGTATTACTATTTGATATTTAATATATTACTCGATAAAACGTCGCTGATTTCTCAAATATGGAATTGACTGTTTGTCTGTTTGTTTGTTTGTTTAACGTCCCATTCACTCATATTTAGATGCCACCACTTGCCGGTGGGAAGCTGCAAATTTAGACCTGTACTCAGCACTTATAGCCTCTGAGCATTGAGGGATCTTTTCGTGCCAGTACCTATTCGACACGGTGCCTCGGTTAATACGGTCTCAGCGGAAGGACCATTCTCCAGTACCAGCAGTGGGATTCGAGCTCGCGACGTAAGGATCAACGCCTAACTTCGCGGCTCTAGAGCAAATGCTCTGACCACTGCGCCACACGGGCGAAAATATCGAATTGAAGACAATAGTATATTTTTTTTTGATAATGAAATTTCTAAATAAATTCTGCTGCACAAGAATGCAAAAACCGATTTGCTTATCAAGAGGCACAAAATCATCTACTAGAATTGTTGGAAAAGCTGAATTCCAAACATTTCAAATTGTCAAGTATATTTCTTTTTTCTAGATAAACTTCCTATGAAACACACACACACACACACACACACATACACACACACAAAATACTTCAAGTTGTTGATGACTTGCCAAAATATTTTCATGTGCCAAATTTATTTTTTAAAAAAAGTAATGTGCATTATAAAATAGTCTCATGTTTAATTTATCATGCGGAGTATTTGAATAAAGTTATTAGCAGACGAATCTTCTAACTTGGCTGATATTGAATACCTTTTATGATTCTGAGTATGCCTTATGTTCTTTTGTGATAATTTGTTATCCATATTTGATTGTTTCAAAGCATTAAATTTTATATTTCATAAAAAATGTGTTAGATAAGTCCTTCTCTTGTTGTTACATTAAAAGAAATGTTTTATAAATGCACTCAATAATCCTTTTCGTCCATTAATTATAAAGGCTTAAGAATCGATCAATCAAACAGAAATTACAACGTTTACTATTAAGTAATACATTAATAAAATTTCAGACAAGAATGAATAGTTAAAATAATAATTTTTTATAAAATAAATCAATGCTTTCTTGTGTGGTATTCTTTATGAGAATTAAACGTTTATCTTTTATCATTGTGTCCTAAAATACCAATATTGCTTGGAAAATCACGAATAATCATCAATCAACAGTATTTTACTGTCAGAAAATGAAAAGGAAGTACTCTTAGGCCTACATACTACTCCAAGCCAATCAAATTATGTTTTGTTTTACATGAATATTAAAACTGTTTATCACTTGTATATTTCTGTCTATAAGAAACGTATTATAACAAGAAAGCAAAGTTTCTTTACATTTTTTTTTTTTTTTTTTTTTTGAGTTAGACTAAACACTTGCCTTCATTGATCAAATAAAGAACTGACGTTGAAAACACCTATAATTAAAACCCCTTGAATGTACCTGCCCTTATCTTTACAATGATTTTGTTTATTTTCTTACCTATTTACCCCCGTTTTTACATGTATGTCACTATGTGCACATTTCTTTTCAAGCATTGATTATTGTATCTCAAATAACATCTTTCTGACAAAAATATTTTATGCAAAAATACTAAGTCTTGTACTTAGAATTGCATAAACGATTTCAACATGAAACTAAAACTGAACAGTTATCAATTGCCTGCTCTATATATGTTATTTTACTAATTCGTTGGTATGCTTTATATACCAATTTAAATCTACGGACTATTTCTTTAAAACATAGATGATATGCATAACAGAAGTTCTCGAAAACTCAGTAATGTCAAATCGTACGACTTTTCTACACTTTATACAAATATCCCTCACGTAGACTAAAATCTAGACTTTTTGAATTCATAGATAACTGCTTCTTTAATAAAATAGTCATCAACAAAATTACTTTGTTCAAAATCACTCTGATTCTATAGAAAGGTACCCTGAAGTTGATATTTAAAGGATGCTGGAGTTCCTCATTGACATTTATGTAGTCTTCGGAGACCAGAGTATCGTTTCACAAAAGCACCGTAAGTTGTACGTAGTACGTAAATGCGACGTAAGTAATGCGTAGCTAAATTTCGGCGTTTCATGAAAGCGTCTTAAGTCACGTTGCGTCGTACGTAACGACGTAATTTTACGTCACCTCGGAGGTGACGTAAAATTACGTCGTTACGTGAGTACTTGAAAATGGCAGCTTTTTTGCAGATGTACGATCAAGCGTCTCTGAAAAGTTTGTAGCAGGAGCGTGTATTTAGAGACAGGTTGAATCCACTGAATTCATACAGTGATGGCGAAATTATTAAGAAGTTCCATTTGGACAGAAGGTCGATCTTAAGAATTTTAGACATTGTTGGTGAGCAGTTGGAAAGACCGCCACAGCGCTCACAGGGTCTGCCAGCATTCCTGCAGCTCTTCGCTGCTCTACGATTTTTGGCTTCGGAAACAGAACAGAGAGTCATCGGTGATACTCTTGGAATCTCAAAGTCATCAGTGTGCAGGTCGGCGAAGTGAGTTTCTTTTTAATTTGATAAACATGAAACAATATTAGACTGTATGTTAGAAAAATACACATTGGTTTCTAAAAGATGTCGCTATGTGTGTATAGAATTTTTTTTTATTTGTCATTAATTATGTTCCCAAAACGAAGTTGGGGAACATATTGTTTTTACTCTGTTTCTTATTCTTCTTCTTCCTGGGTACTTTTTTGTCCGCGAGTGATCTCGTCAGCTACTCATCCGATTGAGGTAAAACCTTTTTAGGGTTAATAGGCATGTGCGTGCGCGTGCAATGCGTAAAATGACCAATATACTTGATATATATAGCTGTAACTTTTATATTTTTTGATGAAATGCTTTGATACTCAGAATATAAGGATATATTAAAAGTGTAAACAAGATGACATGGTCAACATGCGCATGCATGCACGTGTGCACGCGCAAAGCGTAAAATGACAAATATACTTGATATACTCGTAATTTTTATACTTTTTGATGAAATGCTTTGATACTCAAAATATTTTTATATATTAAAAGTGTAGACAAGATGACATGGTCATCATGCACATGCATGCATGCATGCATATGCATGCACGTGCGCGCGCGTGCAATGTGTTAAATGACCAATATACTTAATATAGCCGTAATTTTTATATTTTTTATGAAAAGCTTTGATACTAAGAATAAACAGACATATTATAAGTGTAGACAAAATGGCATGGTCATTAGGAACATGCATGCAGGTGCGCATGCGTGCAATGCTAAGATGACCAATATACTTGATATAGGCGGAACTTATTTATTTTTTGATGAAATGTTTTGAAACTGAGAATATAAAGATGCATTAATAGTATAGATGAGATGACATGGTCATCCTGCACATGCATGCACGTGCGCGCGCGTGAAATGCAAAAAACGATCAATATACTTCATTGCCTTATTTAATGAAGCTTACAGGAAATAAGACACCAAAAGGGTGTTGGGGAGCGTTTGGGGAACATCTGTAACGGTCCCCGTTACAATTATAACTAGTTATTCCTATGCATTACCCTATCATTCATACAGAGCATTCCTTTATTGTTATAAGTCATCAAAACGTTAAGATTTGAATAAAATTGTGCAAGCTTAACAAGAAGTACAACGTGCAGTTTATCTAGCAGAAACACCTGAGATCATACTCTGTTTGCAGATCAATTGACAAAGTAGTCGAAGTTTTATCCACATCTTTGAACACCATCAAATTTCCTTCTGAAGATGCAGATATTTTGAAAACAAAACACAATTTTTATCCAATGGCGGGGTTTCCAAACGTGGTCGGTGCAATTGACGGCACGCTTATACCTATAACAGCGCCAAAATCTGACGAGCACCTGTACATATGTAGGAAAGGATTTCATTCCATAAACGTACAAGCTATTGTTGATTCTGACCTGAAGTATGTCCCTATAATTCCTAATACTTGTAACAAACACTATATGCTAATAAGTGAGTCATTAATTCTTCTCTTTTTTCAATTGATACATTTTTTTTTATTATTGAAAAGCATCTTTGTATATACAAAACACTTATTGTGGCGTAAAGTTTAGCCCAAATTCCCTTTTCTCAGTAAAAAAAATTTCGACGACGCTGTGCAATGTGTGATATATTGATCATTCAGAATTATAAAAGTCTAAAATTTTAACCTTAATATTGCAATCTTTTCAGTATTCAATGGGAATTTTATTAAGTATTTCATCGAATTTTAAAGCCAAAAACTATCAAATGATTCGCGATGAGAGAGAGAGAATAATTTGAAATATGCTTGTACATATATATAACTAAGGTTTACTTTTCTGAGCATATTAGTATTTACTTTTATAACATTATTATTAAAATGTACTAGGTTTCTGAGTGTAGTGAGCAAATGGCCCGGAGCAACACACAATGCCTTTATCTGGGCAAATTCTGGTATTGCACGCAAGTTCGAAAGGAGCGAAATTGACGGGTGGTTACTTGGAGACTCCGGTTATCCTTTGAGGCCTTCGCTTTTAACTCCAGTGAATAACCCTAAATCGAAAGGGGAACAAAATTACAATGGATCTCATAGAAAACCCCGTGTTGTTGTAGAACGGGCTTTCGGTGTTCTGAAGTCCCGATTCAAGTAGGGAAAAAAGTGTCTTTTACATATAAAGTTGAACAACGAAATTTCGGTCCGAGTACGATTGGGGTGACATAATAAGTAAATATTGCATGTAGCTGAGTGTAACCTGGAAAATTTTCACCCCATGGCAAGAAACCCATTGATAATCGAGGTGCAGCAGAGGTTGACAATGATTTTCGAGGGGTGAAAATTTTCAATGTTACAGTTACTCAACTACATGCAATATTTATTATATTATATTGAATGTTTTAAACAAATAAATATTACAGTGAACCTTAATTGCGCGCATAAATTCTGCGCAGTCAATATTTTTTGGAATATCACCCGTCGTCAAGCAATGTTGACTGTTGCTACCCTGGAGGGCGTGGCTTCATTATTCAGCGGGTAATAGTAATTTTTAAAAAATGTTTCTCAACGAATGAAACTCAATTAATTTATTTGAAAGTATAAAATAATTTAATAAAGGTTAAGAACTCACTGTGCATACTATCTAGAAGAGAAATTACAAGTTTTTTCAAGCCTTTTACACGTAAATAAAATTCTTAAATGGAAGAAAAAATAAAGTTTTCAGGTTTATTAAACTGTATACTTTGTATCATCTATTCGTCATTATATACATGTAGCTTAAATTAGCCACTAAAACTTTTATTTTTACATGCATAGATGTCTTCATAAAACCGGAGGTGCTCTAAATAATGAACCAAAACGTTGTTGGAATTGCGATTTGTACTATATGTAATTGTGATCCTTTATTAACTACTTGTTTTTATATTCCTATGAAGCAGAATTTACTAAAAGACTTCTACATGAGAAAAAGAGAGCACTTTCTGTGTCCTTCAACTGAACATTTAGAATTATCGACGATGTGTTATCAATTAACAATAGCTACTTTCATTCATATGTCGATTCGATATATCCCGGTGAACTTGAAATAAAAGAAACCTCAGGGTCTTCCACATCTGTTTCATATTTGGGTGTTTTACTGATTATAGAAGATAAGGGCCACCTACCCTTACATAAAAAAGTTTACTAAAGTATAGAAATTTTTACAGTAGGTAAGCAAAATTTTAACTCAATAAATCAATTTTTTCCCCATTTTTTAAATTATGGATTTAAGATTGTTACATTTACCAGGTAATGTTCTCCAATTCATAGATACACAATTTTTATATTAAATGGAATTATTATTTGTATATTCATAGATTATTTCAATATTTTATATCACTGTTATTGAATTTAAGAGCGTTAAAGCTTTGAAATCTCTAAAAATAAAAAAGGAGTACTAGAGTAAAGTTTCAAAGTAAGTCATATTTTTACAATAGTTAACTATAGTAATTTTTGTTAGGGTTACAACTAAAATTGCATGACAACTGAGATGACTTCAACTTTTTATCGTCAACTTTCCTTATTTATGTAGTTATATCTCGCTATCGCCTGAATATGGTGTGTACGTCTTCCAACTTTTTCGATACCAAAGAGCATGCTCCGAGTATGATCAATTTTAAAACCGAGGCAGGCTACACACAGACAAGCTGATTTTGCAGGGATTTCAACAACCTCGATTTAATTCAGCGTTTCGTAAATTTTATGGTCGTTACGTTTGTATGTTATTTAACGTCCCTCTCGAGAATGTTTCACCCATATGGAGACACCACCACTTTCCGGTGGATGGCTACAAATTTTAACCCATACTCGGCACTCATGGCCATTGAACAGTGAGGATCTTTTTCGTGCCAACTCCTACTGCAATACGGGACCTCGGTTTATATTTCTCATCCGAGGGAATGGTCTCCACGTTCCACAGTGGATTCGAACCCGCGACGTAAGGATCAACTGGTCACTTCACGACTCTGTAGCAGACGCTTTAACCACTTGACTTATGGTCGTTATAATGACCTTGTTTGCAAATATAAACTATTGTTGGGTCGTATTTTAGCTGACCTGTTTCATACCAACTGTTAGGCCCTTGTTTTTATTCTGAAATTGACTACGGAATGTTCCGTCTACCTAATCAATACATAGGGCTCAGTTGGGTGTGACCGATCAACAGGGGATGCTTACTCCTCCTAGGCACCTGATCCCTCTTCTGGAATTTCCAGGGATCCATGTTTTATGCCCTCTTTACATAATCGTATTGCTTATAGATTTTTCGAGATCTCTCACTATTTGTTATCTTCACCATTTTCATGATATGCATAATAGAAGTTCTTGAAACCTTTAGTTTTCTGTTAGTTGAAAGAAATGTTCCACATTCAAACCTATGGAAACATGGAAGACTCTTTAAATGCATTGATATCCATCATTTGTGACACACATATTGTTTAGTTATCATAAAGAATATTATAGCGATTAATTTATTTTGTATTACAAAGAAAAATACAAATATAAGAATATTTCTTGATTTATTTTTAAAGTTATCATACAATAAAGATTTACTGTGACAAAATAATTCATGGTACTGGTATGAAATTTACTAAGCAATTTTATGGAATCATTATTATTCGTAGGCGTTCAACGTTCGTAAATTTCGTGAAAACGCTTACCCACGAATTTACATCTTCACGAACTTTGATGCACACTTGCATTGGGTATTGTAGATTGATCTATCTAAATAAAACACAAGTTACCCTCAAAGTTACGTCTCCACAAACCAGTAAAACTTTGATTACCCATGAACATTGACCTACCACGAACAATTGAACAATTATTATCCCGAATCTGGTCTCCACCTGACAATGTAAAAAAGAATAGCCCAATTGTGACAAATATTACTTGAATCTGTTGTTCGTAAATTTCAAGTTGCTCACAAGTGTACAACCTTGCCACATTGTAAGTATTTCTATACAGCTGAAACAATTCAAAGTCTCTATCATGTGACTTTGGAATGATCAAAAGTATATTATGAATATAAATTCAGCTTTACATAGATCGTGTACTAAATCATCTTTCACAAATCAAATTCATTTTAAGGTTTCCATCACCAAAAAGGACACAACTATTATTAAATATCCATCCTATATAAATTACTTTGGTATTCACATGAAATATTTAAGGGAACAAAAAGATGGACCCAGAGATATCAAAGGATGAAACTTAACTGAAAGTTTACTGAAAGTTTGCATGAATGGCGAAGCTCTGCCTTTCAGTCTCCTTAATAAATCTAGGTCTTTCAGTGTCCATTCAGTTGACTGAAAGGTGAAGACTTATGCTGTGAATTGCAAAAATATAATAAGATATGCAGTTATTAATAAAAAAAAATGCATTGCAGTCTAGGAAATTATACTATTTCTTTTTTTAAATTTTAAATACTAAGAATGAAATATATGGAGATAACGAACAGTATTCAAGTCCAAAAGTCCATTATACAATACAAAATAGGAGCAGAGCAAACACGGATCTCCAAACATCAGAGGTGGGATCAGGTGACATGGAGGAGTGAGCATCCCCTGCCGACCGGTTCACACCCGCCGTGTGCTCCTTGTCATGATCGGGAAATAACGGAAAAATCCGTCGACAATTCAGTGTGTAAATAATGGTCTAACAATTAGTATGAAAAACGTCAGTCAGCATTTGACTCAATGATATTTGCTGACAAAGTCATTGTATCGACCATAGAACTTACGAAATGATGGCTTTTAACGAGACAGCTGATATTCTTGTTTCATCAACTTATTTGTCAATAATTTACCTCGTTTTAGAAATTGTACATACCTAGAGCATGCTCTTGCGTATCGAATCAACTGAGAGATATATACCCCGTATGCAGGTGATGAAGGTATATTGCTGCATAAGTGAGGGAAGTTGACGATTGAAAAGTTAAAGTCATCACGTTTATCATAAAGCTTGGTTGTTAGATTACCATTAACGTCTTTTTCAAGTAAAATATCCAAATATGAAACAGATGTGTCAGACTCTGTGGTATCTTTTATCTCAAGTTCGCTAGGATATATCGTATCGACATAAGAATGAAAATAGCCATTGTTAATTGACAATACGTCGTCGATATATCTAAATGTCGAGTTGAACGCCACAGCAAGTGTTTTCTTCTTTTCACGTACAAGATTTTGGACAAATTCTGCTTCATATGAATACAAAAAAAGGTCTGCTAAAAACAGGGCGCAATTGGTACCCATAGGAATTCCAATAGATTGTTGGAAGACCTGGTCTCCAAAAACCACATAGATATTGTCAATCAGAAACTCAAGCATCTTTTTAATGTCACTTCAGAGTACTTGTGTGTACAATCAGAATGTTTTTTAACAAAATAATTTTGCAAATGACCAATGACAAGGTAAGTATATTTACGAGTTCCATTTTTATTGAAAAAGCAGCTGTCAATGATATCAAAAAGCCTGGACTTTAATTTATCGTGGGGAATGGTTGTGTATAAAGTTGAAAAATCGTAAGTTTTTAAGCTGTTGATTTTGGTAAAATCTTGTGATTTCAAATTTTCCAAAACTTCCTCGGAATTTTTAAGTATCCACATCTGATTTACACCACTTCTCGAATATATTGTTGCACAGTACTCTTGAAGTTTCTCCTTCACCACTGTTAATATCTTAGTGAGGAGTAAAGATAGAGGCTTGGTTGAACATTTACTGGAACCCGCTATGTATCTTTGTTTGTAAGGATTTTTATGAAGTTTCGGAATCCAATATAAATATAGTAATTCGAGTTCATTTTGGTTGTTTGGAATATTAAAAATATTCAAAACTGACATATGATTTTGAAGAATTTCTTCCTTAGAAAGGGAACTATGAGTATAAGTTGGATTACCACTTGTAGAATTAAATCCAAGTTCCTCTAAAATACATTTAATATAATGAGCCTTACAAACAAAGACAATGTTGTTACCTGCTTTGTCAGCAGGGACCAGTACGTACTGATCATGTAATCTATCTAGTTCTTTTTTCACTTCTGGATTATTGAATACAGAAGGATAGATGGTTTTCATATTGCCTCTCAATCTTTTAATGCGCGATTTTAACATACATCTGATACATTTAATCCATTCTGACAAAGTGTCAAGGTCTTCTTTTTCATGTCTGGCCCATCGCCTGGCGTAGTCCTCTACAGAATCCATAATATTTATGAAATTCTTACGCCAGTTGAAAGATCTGGGTTCCCTAAATTTAGGACCTTTTAAAATTAGTGATCTAAGATCCTCATTATTAACTATATTTACGTCACCAGTAATAACGTGTCCAGCAGGACTATAGTTATAGGGCGAAGAAGAACATGAACACGATGGAGGATTATGTTTCAGATATTCGATATCCAGGCCCTGTAAAGTTTTCTTGTAATTAAAAAGTTTGGAAGCAATAGTCGATGTACAAACAAATTCCTCTGGTTAAACAGATATATTTTATCATAGGATAAATATTACAGTTAAAAAATCCATTCATTGATACATTTCATTTTCACTTGGCGTATATTTTTCATAAAAAAGTTATGAAATCCTTTGTTTGAAGTATTTTTAAAACGCCCATGATAAAAAGCTATGCAATTGTAATATACGAAAATGATACTAATTTCGTTTTATTAATTTGTGCATGTTCTATTAATTGTTAGGATTTCAAAAAAAAATCTTTAAATACAAATATGTTGAGAAATCATGAGCACTAAAGTTTACATCGTATAAATTACATTGACGTCATTAATGTGAATGTGATGGGACAATTTAACAATATACCTAGACGAAGGTGTAGTTATGGACATTATTAATGATGAAGTCAATAT